AATTTAAAGATGTTAACACTGAAAACTGGCATTTTTTTTTTCCGGGTCTTGAAACTGGCCTTGCTTGAATTTGCATGGCAGGAGCAGTCGGTTGCTTTCACTCCAGTTACTGCGTAACCATGGAATTTCTAAATTATTAATTTCCCACTTCTTTCTCTATGAAATACTGAACAGAGGTTTTCTCAGTTTCGTTTTTTAGCATGACATTTTTTTAGAATCATTAGCTTTCTTTATACGCAAAGCGACATGTGAATTTTTTTTAAGCAAATTTTTTTAGATTCCGCAAAACTCTGCACAGATTTCAAACGAAATTAGCGAACACTCGTTGGTACTACAATCATTTTTGCTAACGCAGTTGCTAGAACGGCACGGAAATTTTGCAGATTCCTTGTCTACCAAAGATTTACAAAACAGGAAATTAGTATGTGAGCCAGAAAATTTGCAAAAAAAAGAAATTAAAAACAGAAGTTTTGTTTTAGTCTGAACTACAGATCAACACAGGCTATATGCTGTTCCATCTTAGCTGTCATCCTGTAAATTTTAGGATGCATCGTTGAGTTCAAGCAATTGCTGCTGGGTGTGCAAGGAATTGCAGTGGGCGTCTAGCTGCACCATCCTGATTTTCTTTTTTTTTTGTTTTGCTTCCGTCGTTCTATAGCTTGCCGCCGCTTCCGGCTGTAGCTTCGGGAACAGCACTAGCCGAACTTCCCCGACTTCGGATTTTTGACAGCATCACTAGCAACTGGTTACTTCGGATAAGAGCTGGCGTGACGTCATTGAAACGAGAACGAGCAGCAACAGCAGAAGCAGCAGCCGGCAAGTCCAGCGGATCCACCATAACGTATATCCAGACGGAGGAACACATACGTACTCGCATTTGCACACAAACACACACACATACACTCACACCGAGTGTAATTCGCTTAGACACAAATTTTTCATCTTTATCCGTTTTTCTTTTTAATACACCCAGACTGTCTGAATTATTCCCATGGGCCTCCTATCGCAATGCAGCCATTGGCTAAGCGCAACCATCTTAGCTGCTTCCAGCCTAGCAAACATATCTGTAACTGCTGCATTGCTGCATGCCCTAGCCAGTTTTCCAGAAGTCTGTATTCACCTTGTTTTCGATGCGTTGATTTTCAGATCCAATCTTGCTGGCAGGGCATCGCTTGAGGTTATCAGCTCGAGATTACCAAGGCTTTGAATGAATTACCCGCTTGTTTTCTGCGTTTGGACATTACTTTTATTTGAGCATTTCTGTCATTGTTTTAATGGTAACTGCATTCAGAGAAACCCATTTTGTATGCGCTGTAGTTGAAGCGGATTGGTGTGGATAAGAAGTGTTCAGCTGGCCCCGGGCCGGTTTTCCTGTGTTTGCTGAACTGCTTTATTTCACTTCCATTAGTTTAGCATCCTGCTTTCAACATCCATGAAATTGTGAAATTTTTATATTTGCATAAAACTGTTTGCTTAATTTCATCCGGTTAAGAGCGGCTTAATGAGTCTGTTTCATGTTTCAGGTCCGGTGGCGCCACATGCTATCGGCTTCTGGACAGCCAGCGCGATGTACATGCTTAGCAGTTGTCTGGGTCGCATTTGTGTCCTGCTCATTTGCTTAACTTCCGCCCATTCGTCCAGCTTATAAGCGCAATTTTTTCTGCTGAAAAAGCTATTGCAGCTTGTATTAATAATAGTATCTCTTCATACTCAGTCATTCAGCGGTCATGGATTAATGCATGCTGGTAGTGGGTGAAATAAGCCCGGGAGGCGGCATGGTTGCGCAGGACGTAAGGCTGGAATACGACCGCAGAGCGAACATGTTCGGACAAAATCCTAATGTAACTTTCTTCTCTATTTTTCAGAGAAAAAACGCTTTTTTTTGGTTTTCAGAATGCCCGCAAACACAGTCGCAGTCTGAGTTTGAAAATGGTTAGCTTAATCAGTGAGCGGTAAATAATTGCACGAATCATACATCTGTACATCGAGCACAA